TTTTCAATTACCTCATATGCATGTGAAAGCTGGACAATGAATAAGGAAGACTAAAGAAGAGTTGATGCCTGTGAATTATGGTGTTGGCGAAGAATGTGGAATATACCATGGACTGTCAGAAGAATGAACAAACTTGTCTTAGAAGAAGTACAGCCAGAACGCTCCTTAGCAATGAGGATGGCAAGACCTCATCTCACGTACTTTGGACATGTTATCAGGAAGGACCAGTCCCTGGAGAAGGACACCATGCTTGGTAAAGTAGAGGGAGTCAGCGAAAAAGAGGAGGATCCTCAATGAGGTGCATTGACAACAGTGGCTGCAACAGTGGGCTCAAAGGTAGCAAGTGTTGTGAGGATGGTGCAGGATGGGGCAGTGTTTTGTTCTGTCACACACTGGGTCACTATGAGTTGGAACCAACCGGATGGCACCTACCAACGACAACAACCACCTTTATACTGCATGGCAACGATATTTTCTCACAGCCACAGTGGGTTTTGTTTTCTCAGAAACCCTTAGTACCTAGTAACAAAGTCTGTAGTGCGGAAGTGGCTCTGCTGGGTAGTTCATGTAGTCTTGTGGGAATCCACGGGGGGCTTCCATTGACTTGACATTTCAGGCCTTGGCTGCCGGGAACTGAACTTACTGAAGCATGGTCTGCCCTGGGATTGGAGCTGCCCTACAACAGGGTTGGGAGGCCACTTAGTCCCCAGCCTCCTCCGTTTCTTGGGAAGCCTTTACTCTCAGAGATCCTCCTGATACAAATCATAGGACTTCTGCTTTGGAAACTGAGTAGTGTCTCATTCCTGGCTGCAGCTTGCTACCCTGCTGTGTATAAAAATCTATTCAGTGTGGTCCTTCAGTCTAGTCAGTCCACATCCCTTTCTGATGGATGGTTTGTCATTTTTCCACTACAGCCCTGTACTTCTCCTGCTTCTGGAGTACCCTCTTCTGTACTACCTCGTTCTTGTTTTCTGTTGAAATCCTGCATTGCGGCAAAGCCGAGAGAGAGATCCATGAAACCTTCCCTGGTTTCCTCCCCATCCAGAGAGAAGGAATTAGCACTTGTTTTTCAGTTTGAACTCTAGTGTATGGACGAAAACGTCCCAACAAGGCTGAAGCCTTTCTGAGTCCCTTAACACTTGGTCCTTGCCCTTGTTTGGCAGGTGCTCAGTAAGTGATTATTGAATAAAATAGGGAATGGCTTTGGGACAGAGGTGAAGGCAAAGGGAACCTAAAACCCTGGGATCCCTTCCCCGCTCTGGTTCAGGTGATCAGTCATTTAGTGCTTTTCCTACAGTTCAGCTCTGGAAGGCTTATGTTCCATTACAGCCAACCTCACTGCCCCCCCCCCCCAAGAATCCGTGAACACTGGAGGATTGCACTACCCTTTATTCCTAGGATGGAGGAAGGTGTCCTGAATCACATCCTGGGCTCCTGGTTCCCGTGTCAAGGCTCCCAGCCCCTCACAGAGTAGGAATAAGCATGTTCAGGGAGGCTCGCTGGCCAGGTGGCCAAGGTCCCTTTCAAGGGGGTACACCATAAAGATGACATTGTCCCAGGGAGGGAGGGCAGGGTGATCTGGTCTGACCACCTCAAAGCCCATGTAGCTGAAGGCCCGCAGTAGGGCACCTGTCAAAGAAGGAGAAAACCAATTACTGGAACACGCTTTGGAGCTCAGTATATCTATCCCACTAGAGATTGGTTTCTCTGACTAGGGAGCAGCTGTGGGGGAAGCTGTGCAGTGCCGGCATTTCGATGACATGCTCTTGAGTCAAACAGACCTAGACTCAGCCTGGCTTTGTAACATTCTACAAGTTAACCCTTCTGAACTTCAGTGTTCCCCTTTGTAAAACGGGGATCATAGACCCTCACAGAATTGAAGACTAAATAAGAGGCTTATGAAATGCTTAACACAATGATGGCATAGTAAGCTCTCAGACGCTACCTATTATTTACGAATGGTTGTTGACCATTTGTCTTATACCCAGAAATATAAACTCCTTAAGGGAAGAGGTTGTAGTCTCTACAATATATGCTTCAAGCATCTAGGTGAATATATTTCTATCTTCCTGACTTTGTGCTTGACAACATTGGAGAGCCTATCTACCCTACCAACCACACCTTGAATGGATTCTGCCATTTCACCGGTGCTCCTTCAGCCTGCTCGCAAACCACCTCTAGGGACCTCCTGATGGTCCAGCTGCAACTTGAATGAACACCACGCTAGATATCTTAATCCCTCAAACGCCCAATCTTTTTTAAAGAGAAGGGAGAAGAGGTTCTCCCACAAGGGAGAAGGAACCACCAACAGCCTCAACACGGCGGGCAAGGAAGGACAGTAGATCCCCACCTCTGTCATTGCGATCGCTTTGGAAGTTCACAAACACGAAGTCCACACTGGTCCTCTCCTCCACGTACTCCAGTGTCGCGGTCAAACTAGGGGCCCGGGAGAGAAATAACGGGTAATGGAATGTTCAGCCAACTCAGAATCCAGAAAAACACCTACTTAGGGCAGAAGAAAGCCTACTGGTCAATTTTTACTTTCCATCCAAGCAAGGAAATGGAAGTTGCCAAACTGGTTTTGGTGGATTTTCCTCTGAAGCCAAGGGATTGCATGTCGCTGGACTAACAGCCCAGCCATGAGAGGGGTGGGGTGGGGGGCTGCTCTATAAAGGCAAACCGCTGGAAGGCATTTCCTGTTTTCAACTCCCTGTGGATTCCCACTTCTGTGTTTGTGAATCTGAGTTCAGCAACCACCCATAGACCGTATCCCTTGAGCCCCAGCCCCCGGCTCAGTTCATAGGCTTGTGTGCATGCCAGTTGGTTTGCATGAATCCAGCTCTGAACCCCCCTCACTGGTCAGTATACCCACCACCTGATTGTGACATGATAGAAGGGTGAAATCCCCTCCCCCTTCTCTCCCACCCCCATCCAGGCTCAGTCACCTTTCCCGGTTGCCTTGATCCAGGGCCCGATACGGGATGTCCAGGAAGAGTCGATGGTCACAGAGGAGGCCGTGCCAGTGGGCAGAGGTCTGGGGGGTGAGGCGAAAGTGGAAGTCTATCTGCACGGGGTCCTGGGGGAGCAGGGGCTCAGGAGCTAGCACCGTCAGCTTCCCAGCCTGGAAGAGGTCAGGAGGAAAAATGAGAAGAAGGGCCTCCTCTGTTTGTGCTCATCTTGTCCTGGGAATCAGGTCTCAGCAGGTTTGTGTGTGTTTGTGATGGTGAGGAGGGTTTGATGGGGAGCCCGGGAGAGTCTTAGAGACTCAGTGATATCCCTTAGTCCTGGGACCTAGCAGCCATCCCTGTTATGGAGTTCTTGATATCCAGCTCAATCTGGAACTGAGCAGACGCAGTACTACTACTTGCTAACCCCGCCCCGGGGGTACGCTAAGGCCTCAGAAGCTTACAAGCATTGAAATCAGCAGTGTTTCCTGTTGTCAAACAGGGGCAACATCTATTCTCACTGATAATACTTGTCCGCTTTTTTTCATCACATGGGTTTTCTCTAAATTCTCCCTTTCTCTCATTTCAAATGTAGAGGTCATGACCAGGCATGTTATTGTAACAAAATACAAGGAGCTCTGGGTTCTAGTCCCAGCTTAGCACCTAAATAACTTTATATCCCGGAAGTCTTACTACCCTGCTCCACTTTGCCCCCACTTCCCCTCTTCCCGTCCTGCTATCTAGCTGTAGGGCCTTGGGAGTCCTGGGGGTGAAGTGGCTGAGCACTCGGCTGCTAACCAAAAGGTTGGCAGTTCAAACCCACCAGCTGCTCCATGGGAGAAAGATGTGGCAGTCTGCTTCCGTAAAGATACAGCCTTGGAAACCCTATGGGGAAGTTCTCTGTCCTGTAGGGTTGCTATGAGTCGGAATCCACTCAAAGGCAATAGGTTTGGTTTTTAGTTTGGTATGGCCTTGACTTAAGATCTCTGGACCAGAATTCTCATCTATAAAACAAGTAGCTTTTACACATGAGCGCCAAGTTCCCATCTAGCTCTTAGCTTTCTATGGTTCATTTTCCAACTAGCAAATATCCCTCCCTCCACAAGGTATCATCTTACAGTTAAACCTGCCCAAACTGGAACCTATGTAAGACAGAGACCTGTCAGAAAGGGAAAAGTCAACTATTTTTCACTAACAGCCTTAGAAAAATGGTAAAACTGCACCCTGTCAAAGGCGTAAAACTTGTGAGACCCGGAAATACAAGGCAGTCCCATGGAGTTCCGGCTGTCCCAGGTTTCACTGTAGCAGCAAGGAGCTGCCCTTGTCCAGCACCAGCCCACAGCCCACTTACCGAATACAATTCTTTAAGCTGGTTGCGGTCCCCCTGATCGGTTCTGCCCACCTGGAGGCCTACTGGAGACTCAGGAGCACTGAAGGCAGTAACGGGGCCGGAGCGTCAGGTCCTCCCGCTCCTTATAAGTGACGCTGGTTGGAAAAAAGAGGCCCAAGTTAGTCTATTTCAGGGTCTGGGATGGGGAAAGTTCATACTTCCACCAACCAAACTCTATGCCTTTGGTATCTTGAGTAGACCAGCCTGTTTCCATTGTCTCAGGCCAGACAGATGAAAAATTCTAAAGAAGGTCTATGCCAGTCTTCCACCCTATTTTGTTTATCTCTTGCCCCTTGAGGGGAAGCTCTTTCAAATTCTTTTATTTGTCCTTACAATTTCAACAACTACAAGTAGAGATGTGAACAAGTACCTTTTACAACAGCAAGGCAGCATCTTCTCCCGGCGGCTGACCCGGTATTTGTAACAGTAAAGGTAATAGGCGTATGGGGACCAGATCGGGTAGAGGTAGTTCCGTGTTTTTCCCTTCTTGATATAAGAAAGGGAATAAACAGGGGGGCGGGACCTGTTGCAAGGCAGTTTCTCAGTGCAGTGCCTCCCTGCGGCAAAGTGAGGTTCAGAGAGGAACGGCAGAGGTTCAGGCAACCTGGTGCCATTGTGACCTGGTGGGCACTGTGACATGGACAAGGGGTCAGCCCTTCACTCTGCCACTCCCTTCCCCACCCTACCCCCTCACCCACAGCCCATATGCAACTATACATGTACGTTACAGCAGCACCAATGGTGACAACATCTGCTGGCAGACAGCGCTGTCTGAGAATTGTGTCCACCGCACCCTGCTCTGGGAACCCCCCTCCAGTCCCACTTCCCCACCGTCTGTCAACTCAGGGGTTGGTGTCTGATGCTGCAGGGGGCTTCAAAGGCCCTGGTCCAGCATCTGACCTGACTACAGTTGTTAAATATTTGTATCATCATCCATACCCTTCCCAGCCCAGGGGTGTCACAGGTGGCTGAATTTCATCCATTGCCGCGTAGGGTAGGCATCGCAAAGGAAGTGCCTCCAGGGACCCAGGCAGCTCATGAAAATCAGTGCAGCTGCAGGGTGGGGTGTAACGTGGAAAGCCCATACCCTGTCTAAAAGCAGACATAGCTCAGCGCCATCCAGGTCTTGCCGTGGAGAAATGGTGGAGAAATGCAGAGTTGGTGGTACCAGATGGTGTGATGTTTCAACAGAAACTGGGAACACAGGTGTTCGTTTTTGGTTTTTTTTTTTTTTTGGTGGTAAATTTCTCCACTAATATATGTGTGTGTGTGTGTGTGTGCGCGCGCTACTAATTCAAAAAATAAAAGCTGTTGATTAAAAAAAAAAAAAATCAGCATTGTGAGAAATATTTGGTTCTGGGGCCCACCATTTGAGACCTCCATTCATTCATCCACTCAGCAACTATTTATATGAGCCCTGGCAGCACAGTGGTAAAGAGCTCCGCCGCTCATCAAAAGGTCAGCAGTTAGAATCCACCAGGCACTCCCTGGAAACCCTACAGGTAAGTTCTCCTCTGTCCTATGGGGTCGCTATGAGTCGGAATTGATGGCAAAGGGTGCTATGAGCCAAAGGTCCCTGGGTGGCACAAACGGTTTGCTCTCAGCTACTAGCTTAAAAGCTTAAAGGCTGGTGGTTCCAACCCATGCAGCTGTGTCATGAAAGAAAGGCCTGGCAATCTGCTTTTGTAAAGACTACAAAACCAAGTTCCCCACCTTGTGGAACTTCTAACAGTGGGAGAGCAAACCTAAACAATAAATTATTTAGTATGTTAGAAAATAACTGCTATGGGGAAAAAATGGAGCAGGATGAAAGAGGATCAGGAGCGTGAAGGGGTGGGGCAGGGCTGCAGAATAACAGGGTGATCTAAGTAGGCATCATGGAAAGGGCGACAAAGACCTGAAGGAGCAGACCTTCTGTTCATCCGTTCAGATATACTTCTCGTCAGTACTGAGCCCCTCCAGAGGGAATTATCTCGCTCCTACCATAGTTTCCCCTTCCTATGGCTTATCTCTCTTGCGATTTAGAACTCTTCTTTAAATATTAGCTTAAATACTGCAGTGCAATGACTCTTTCTCCTGGGATTGGCATAGTTTTCCAAGGGATCTCATCCTTCCACCACTTTTAGATAGATTTGAGGCTAAAAAAAAGGTGGGGGAGGGGGAAGCAGCATCTTTCCCGCAAGGTCCAGTTATTGTAGAATGTCAGAGTGGGAAGTGACTGGTTAAGACCTGGGCTGCCCAGCAAAAGGTCGGCAGTGCGAATCCACCAGCTGCTCCTTGGAAACTATGGGGCGGTTCTACTCTGTCCTATAGGGTCGTTATGAGTCAGAATCGACTCGACGGCAACGGGATGGGGTGTTTGGTTTTAGACAACTAGAACTAAGCCGAAGGCCCCGTTTTAAAGCGAAGCCAAAGGGGAGACAGTGTCTTTCCACGTGTCCGTCCACCGAACACCGTGGAGCAACTAGGGCACATCTCTGGGCGGCGACCGCGGTCGAGCTGGCGCCCACGCCCTCGCTCGCCCGGCCCGGAGGACGGCCAGGCCGGCTCAGGCGCGCCGCGGGCAGCCCCGGTGGGGCCTTTGCTGCCGCCGGGCGCCGGGGTCCTTCCTCAGCTCGCCCTGCGCGCCCGGGAACATGGCGGCCGCCGCGCTCGCGTCCCCGGGCCGGGCGCTGCTGCGAGGAGGAGTCTGGGCGCTGTTCCGGCTGCGACCTGGAGCAGGCACCCCGGTCCCGGAGCGCGACTTCAGCCTCTCGCACAGCCGGGTGAGGGCCAGGTCGGGGACGTAAGGGCTCCTGAGCCTGCCGGGGCCGTTTACCCCCGGGTGTTAATTCTGGGGGCGGGCTGAGGCCTGGCGGGGCCCCGCGAGTGGCGGGCTGCCCTCGAGGTCCGGCGGCCTGCCCTCGAGGTCCGGCGGCCTGCGGAGGGGGGCGCTGCCGTGGAGACTCGCTCACCCTCGCCTTCCCGGTCGCCAGGGCACCGTCATCGTGGAGCGCTGGTGGAAGGTGCCGCTGGCCGGGGAGGGCAGGAAGCCGCGTCTGCACCGGCGACACCGCGTCTACAAGCTGGTGGAGGACACGAAGCACCGGCCCAAAGACAGCCTGGAGCTCATCCTCACGCAGTCCGTGGAGGGTGAGGCCGCCGGCGCCTTCCCCTCTCAGGCTGTTAATGTTGGGCATCAGCTTTCCCCTACCCTTTCCCGCATCTGCCTTCTCCGCTTTCTGGGAATACCCGGCTCTGTATTTGAGAAAAGGAAACCGTAAAGAGTACAGTGATTGCGATTTTGGCCTTTTGCATGGAGAGTTGGAACGTGAATGCGGCGACAGCGTTAACGGTCTGTGGGGAGAGAGGCCTAGCGCTGTGTGCCACATTGAAAATCCTCTGATGGGACAGTGCCTCACTCTGTACAGGGAATACGAAATTTCTAAATCAGGCCCTAAGTAAACTAGTTGGAGGTCTCATAAATGTTGTTCCTAGTGACTATGAATTAACAGTTTCTCTAGGAAGATGAAGCACTGCGGAGAATGAAAATACTTTCTTTGATCATCCCCTTGTCTTTAGGAACTCCCAGGTAGTTCTCCTCACCCAGGGTCTCTCTTGTCTCATTGGCAGAACTTGGAGTCCGGGGCGACCTGGTCTCAGTAAAGAAATCCGTGGGCCGTAACCGACTCCTTCCTCAAGGACTGGCTGTGTATGCATCCCCTGAAAACAAGAAGCTGTTTGAAGAGGAGAAATTGGTATGCTCAAAGAAAGGGCAGAGGGACTTGGAAGAATAAAAAAAAAAATTGGTTGTTTAGTTCGGGGTTTGTATTTAATTTGAAAATGAAGTAGGGACTGGAAGTCCAGAATTCCAGGAGCCCAGCCAATGCGCAGTATAGTAAGAGTTTGCTATTATTTACCGTGGGCTTGTTTTTCTTTTACGTTTTTTCATCTTTACCTTTCTTTTCTAGCTGAGACAAGAAGGAAAACTAGAGAAGATTCAGACCAAGGCGGGTGAGGTGGTGAGTAGAAACACACACGCAAAGCCTTTATTTACCGGTTGCTTACAGTCGTTACCAAACCTCTTGCTGAGAGTCTCCCTGATTTCCCTGAAGTCTCCTGATTGTAGACGGAAGAGTCGGGGAGGGAGGAGGTGCTGTGGTTGCTGTAACTGGTACAGAGACTTTCTGGCAGATCCTGACCTGTCAGGTGACGCGCCCTAGCTACTGAGAAAGGCCCCATCCTGGGCACTGGGGAACCCATGAAAAAATGAGTGGAGGGCTCTGCCCTCAGAGATATTTACGTACAAGTTGGAGATAACAGATCCATAATAAAGTGATCAGTAAACTCAGGGTAGTAAATTACAAAAATGACGTGGAACGTAATGGGCTGGGGTGATTGGGATAGAATTAGGTCTTGGATCAGTAGACTTTGAATAGGCAAAGAGGATGGGAAAGATATTCTTAAGAAAGAAAAACTGTAAGTAGAAATTTAAGGCATATTTTAGCATAGAAAGTAGACCAGAATAGCTAACACAGAGGATTTACATGGTGTAATACTTGGAAACATGCTAGGGGCTGGGGCCAGATTTACAGAACATCTTAAATGCTTAGCTAATGTATTCATACGTTCTGTAAGCAAGGAGGAGTCACTAATAGGGTTGGGGTGGTGGTGGAGGGCCGGAAGTATTGGGTTAAAACATCTAAGTCATTCCATCCTGAGAGAAACCAGTGGCCCCCACTGATGAACCTCATTTTGACATGGCCTATTTCTCCTTGCTTAAGAGTAGCCAAGTCACAGGTGGTATCTCCCTATAAAATTTTGCTAAAACATTTTCCCCCGATACCAGCCTTGAGACGATAAGAATATTCCAGCCTTTGCAGTCATCTTCTTGCTTGTCTTGGCTATGAGGCAGAAACTGGTGTCCTTTCCCTGAACTGTCAGTCCTTGTGCCTCCTGCTAACATGTTTTCTCTCCTTTGATTCCACCTGTAACCCAACCCCATTTGTACTTTCTCCCAGACGGTGAAATTTCTGAGAAGCTGTCACCTGGAAGTGGGAATGAAGAACAACATCCAATGGGAGCTAAACCCTGAAATAGTTGCCCGCCACTTCTTCAAGAATGTGAGTGTCCCCCCAGACACCACTCTACTCCGGGGGGCTGTCTCAGATCCATTCCTGTGTTAGGAAAGGGCATGTCATCCAGCTGGAGTTTGAGAGAGTGAGCCCGGCTGCTTTGTAGTGATGTAGAGGGCAGTGGCAGAGGACTGTGAGTGGTCACGTGGAATTCGGAGACCGATAGGAGAGGATGGTCGTTTCCTCATTTCTTCTCTAGAGAAGAACGGGAAATGTGACTCATTGGAGAATTTTTACTTTTACACACAAAGTTATTTTGGTCTCAAATCCTGTTTCTCTTTGAGAATCTGCCTCTCCCTTGCCGAGAAATTAGGATTGAGTTTCTCTGCTACCATCTTTGAAGGTCTCTGTCAGCCGGTGGGGTCAGCCAGAGTAAACTTCTCAGTTTAATTTATCCTGTACAGAGAATTATAGACCCCACTGTATGAGGTTGCTTAGAGTGACAGCAACGAAAACAGTTCATTTCTGCCGCCATCTTTTGCAGCTTGGTGTTGTGGTCGCCCCCCACGCAGTAAAGTTACCGGAAGAGCCCATCACACGATGGGGCGAGTACTGGTGTGAGGTGACGGTGAGTGTTTAGGATTTTTCTGACTGGGTGAAAAACCAGGGTGGAAAGCTGGGATTGGATGGCATTACCTTTCACCTGCCCGCTTGGGGTCTGAGGATTCCTGTTCTTTCGTCTGCAGGTAAATGGGCTTGACACTGTGAGGGTGCCTATGTCTGTGGTAAACTTCGAAAAGCCCAAGACCAAAAGATACAAGTACTGGTTAGCCCAGCAGGCTGCCAAGGAAATGGCCTCCAGAAGCTCCCAGACGCTCTGACCTGCCCTCCCTGCACGGCAGCCAGGTGTCTTCAAGACCCTGATGTTCTGCAGCATAGACTCAGAGGAGCCGTGGGACAAAGATCGGCCAACACCTGCTCTCACGCCCAGCTCTGCCCAAATACGCAATTTTAGAGCACATATGGGGACGTCAGATAAACTGCACATACATGTTGAATTCTCCACATTTGCCATCCCCACCTTGGATTGTTTTCCCAGTCTCCTTTATTGGGACAGTCCTGCTCGAGAAGCACCAACCTGTAAGTTGGATAAGCCAGACATTAATGGACTGAAGCAGTCCAGATCGATCTGTCCAGCCCCTCCCTCCGGTGGAGCACGTGGGAACGAACAGAGCTAGCCACTGTCTCGAGTACTTGGCTCGTTCTTATCACCCAAACCAAACTTTTTTGTTTTCTGAACACAAATAAAGGGTTGTGTTTGTTCTTTATAGGTGTCAGTTACTGGACTTGAGTATGAGACTAGACTGGGGTTGGGACATCCACTGAGCTTTGCTGCCACAAAGGGAGGAGGAAGAGTGTACGTTAGCAGGCTCTGCCCCCCAGTAGCTAGGGGCTAATTACCCCTAACAAGCTGATACGGCTGTGGTCTTAGAATTGATTGTCGCTAGGTGTACTGATAAAGTTATAAGTAAACACAGTGACTGCTTCTCTAAGGAGATCTGAATGGAGCCTAAGGGTAAATGAAGCTGGGAGTGAAGCCTAAAAAGGGAATTTGTTTCTTTACCTAGCTCCTGAAATTCTGAAAAGAAGATACCTTGGTGGTTCCTAGACCAAGTTTAAGATATGAGGCTAGTCATTGGGTAAATCGGGACGAGGTGTCTTGGTGGGAGATGAAGAAAGATAATTCTGAATAAGTTCAGGTCCGTTAGTGAAAAAAAAAAAAACATCCATTGGCAGGTGGATTGTGCCCAGGTCACTCAGTGTGAGGTCACGCAATTTAGGGCGGGTTAAAGTGGGGCCATTTACTCCTCTGCTGTCCTTAGCAAAAGTTCAGAGAGATTGGTTTCTGTCACCTGTGTGACCTCATCTGCCCCTTGGAGCCATTTAAGCACTTTCACTTACATCCAGGTGAGGCCATCCCCACAGATCCGAGGTCTGTCCTTAGCAGTAGCTGCACTGATAACTACACCCAACTTAACACTTGCCAGAACTCCAGAACTCAAGTCTGGCACATGAAAGTTTCCACTGCAATGACCCCTGTCCCTGCTGTCATTGAAATAGCTGATTTAACGTGGCATGTCCCCACCGCATCACCACCACTGCCACCATCACCATCATGAAGCTCTCTGAAATTGTTTCATCAACAGGCACAACATTCCATCCCGTGAACCTCAGAAAGTATGTTAAGTACTTGTCACAGGTTGAGTTCCTGGTGAAACAGCCTCTGAAATGGAGATCGTGCCCAAGAAGTTAATTAGGGGGCGTCCTCAGGACCAACACCTGCGGGAGAGTGAAAGGAGCAGGACGGAAGAGGGAGAAGTTGAACTGATGGTCTCAACATGGCCTCTGCAGATCCCACAGAGCTCAAGCTGGCATGGCTCTACAGAGATGCTCCCTATTCGGGCAAGTGGTCAGACCTGTATCCCTCACGTTGACCAGGAAAGGGTGTGACCTTGGAGGAAGTGGCTGCCTTCAGCCGAAGGCAGTTCCCAGAGCAGATGAGAACTGTCCGCCACCAGCATAATAACTTGGGGAATGAGTGCTTCAGTATCTACTACAGTCCACCCCTTGCATTGTTGAGATCCATTTGCTTCATGAGTTCTGGGAGGGTTGCTCCAGGATTCTGATGGGCCTCTTTTCCTGGGAAGACGTAAGAGGAAGGTTCCATAACAGACCACAGTCCCTGTAAAGACTGCATCTGGTGCTCATCATCTCCCTCCTCCACTGCCCATTCTAGATTGCTCCATCCCTGACCTCGCACTTCTGCCAGAACAGGTGGCTTAGCTGGTGAAGTGACTCAGACCGTCATCCTGGAGAGGTCTGAGCCCCCTGGTCATCGTGCCCGTCTCGGGCCATGACTGCTGCACTTGTCCATTTACCATCAAAACTGGGCAAAGAGATACCAAGAGATACACAAGTGGTTAAGCTGGCCGCCAAGCACATTCTTCCCTGCCCCCGTTTTGTAACGGCAGCCTGCCCGCCTGATGATCAGGGTCAATTACTCCTGCCAGGATGGTGACTCTTCCCTGCCTCCTGGTCTCTTGGTATGAGAAGCCTGAAGTGACCTGGTGGCAGACAGAGCTTAAAGTTTAATGACGACCTTTGTCCATTGGTAGAAATATTTCCTCTCTGGGAACTAGAACTTCTAAACCCTCAGAGCCCGACTGGGTCACTGGTTGTGATGATGGGCGGTTGGGGGCAGTCCTACTCCCACCCATTGTTTCCCAGACCCGTGTATTTTCTTAGAGACACAGCACGACATGAGGCCATTGATATATAGGGTCACTGTGAGTTGGAATCGACAGCAACGAGTTCAGATTGCACACTGGAGGACAGTGCCTCATCTCATGCCTCAGCTGTACCTTCAATAGGCTGCTCCATTGCTCTATCAAGTGGGCAGCTTTTGGATAGTATGTGTATGATCAGACCAGTGGATCCAGTGATCATCTACCCACTGCCGCTCCTCCTTTGCTGTAAAGTTGGTCTCTTAGTCCAATGCAATATTATGAAAGATTCCATGCCAGTGATCACAGAGTCTAAGCCCTTGGATAGTGGTACTTACTGAGGCCCTGCAGGCAGGAAAGGCAAACCCCTAACCATAAGCTATGTCAATTGCAGTCAACATGAAACAATGCCCTTTCTAGGAAAGCAGGATCCAATGTAACACCAAGTGTCTGGATGGTTCCTTGGGGCATGGTGACATATCAGGGTTTTAGCATCGGTCTTTGTGGCTGGCAGTTGGGACATTCACAGCAGAAGCTAGATATGGGGCCATGCATAGCCTCCATTCCTGTTGCCCAGTCCTGCACCATTTTCATGGTGGTTGGTATGTGTGAGTTCATTATTGCAGCCATTGTGTCAATCCATCTCCCTGAGGGTTTCCCTCATTTTCATTGGCCCTCCACTGAGCATGATGTCCTTGTCTAGCAATTGGTCTTTCCTGATGATGTGTCCAAATTAAGCGAGTCAAAGTCTTGCCATCCTCGCTTCTAAGGAGCATTCTTAGTTGTATTTTTTCTAAGACCGAATTGTTCATTCTTCTGGCAATTCACAATGTATTCAGAACTCTTTGCCCACACCATAATTTGAACGTATCAATTCTTTAGTCTGCCTTTTTCACTATCCAACTTCTGCATGCATGTGAGGTGACTGAAAAGACCATGCCATGGCTTGGGTCAGACACACCTTAGTCATCAAAGTGACATCTTTGCCTTTTAGAACTTTAAAGAGGTCTTTTGCAGCAGATTTGCCCAATGCAGTATGTCATTTAATTTCTTGACTGCTGCTTCCATGGACGTTGATTGTTGATCCAAGTCGAATGAAATCATTGACAACTTCAGCTTCTCCATTTATCATGATGTTGTCATATGACCCAGCAATTCCACTCCGAGATATATACCTAAGAAAAATGAAAACATATATACATACAAAAACTTGTACATGAATGTTTATAGCAGCATGATTCATAATAGCCAAAAGGTGGAAACAACCCAAATGTGCATCAGCTGATAAATGGATTTTAAAATGTGGTATATCCATACAATGGAATATTATTGAGTCATAAAAGGAATGGAGTACTGGTACATACTACAACATGGATGAACCTTGAAAACGTTATGCTAAGTGAAAGAAGCCAATCCGAAAAGAATGCATACTATAGGATTCCATTAACATGAAAGGTACAGACTGGACAAACCTATAGAGATAGATTAGTGGTTGCTTAAGGATGGGGCGATGGGAGGGTGGAGGGAGAAGGGGATGATAGCTGAACGGTATGAGGTTTCTTTGAGGTGATGAAAATGTCCTCCAATTGACTGTCATGAAGGTTGCACATACCTGAGAATGTACTAAAAATGGAATTCTACACTTTAAATGGATGATTGTATGGTATGTGAATTATATTTCAATAAAAGTGTTAATGAAAAAAAATCAAGGTAAATCAACATACTAAACACTAAAAAGGAAAAATATGACCATATCAATAGATGGAGAAAAAGCTTTTGACAAAATGGAAGGCCCATTCATTAAAAATTCTCAGTAAACTAGGAATAAAAGAGAACTTCCTGAATCTAACAAGGGGCATCAATGAAAAACCTACAGCTAATATTCTACTTAATGATGAAAGAGTGAATATTATCCCTCCAAAGTCAAGAACAAAGCAAGGATGACCAAATCTATTCAGTATTTTACTGGAAATCCTAGCTAGCATAATAAGGCAAGAAAATAAAATGTAAACAGAAGTAAAATTGACTTGATTCACAGAAAATATGATCATGTATATGAACATCCTAAGGGATATACAAGAGAAAAAAAGTATAGAACTAATAGATGAGTTTAGCAACATCTCAGGATACAAGGACAATATACAAAAATCACTTATATTTCTACATACCACCAACAGACACTTGGCAATTGAAATTTAAAATTATCATTTACAAAAGCATCATAAATATTGAATACTTAGGGATAAATTTAACATAATGAGTGCAAGAACTGTTTACTAAAAATTACAAAACACCATTGATAGAAATGAAATAAGACCTAAAGGAATGGAGATATATATATACTATGTTTGTGGATCAGAAGAGCCATAAGATGGATTCGTAAGACTAAGATGTCACTTCTCCCCAAACTGATATATACATTCAATGTAATTCCAGCAGGCTTTTGTGTAGAAATTGACAGACTGACTCTAAAATTCATATGGGAGTGCAGAGAACCTAGAATAGCCAAAACAATTTTGAAGAGTAAAGTGGAAAAAGTATAGTGCCTGATTTCAAGATTTATTGTAAAGCTACAGTAGTAAAAACAGGGTGGTACTGGCGTAAGAGTAGGCTTATAAATCAATGAAACAAATAAATGGTCCAGATTTATACATACATGGTCAACTGATTTATTTTAATAATATTCTCTTGTGTCTTAGCTGAAAGTTTACACAGCAAATTAGGTTCCCATCTAATTTTTGGTCAGTTGATTTTTGACAAAGGTGTCAATGGTTTGGAAAGTAGTCTTTTCAACAAATGTTGCTGGAATAACTGGATGTGGAAAAAAATGAACCTCAACCCATATACAAAGCTAATTCAAAATCATAGACCTAAACGTAACAGTTATAACTATAAAATTTGTAAGAGAAAATATTTGTGACCTAGAGGGAGGCAAAGATTTCTAAGCTAGGACACCAAAAAGCACAAACTATGAATGAAAAAAATGATAAATTGGACTTTGTCAAAATAAAAAATGTTCACATTCTCATGGACTCCAGACTTTCTGGAGCCACGGAGGCTGGACGAATCCCTGAAACTATTGCCCTGAGATAATCTTTAAACCTTAAATCAAAAATAACCCTGAAGTCTTCTTAAAATCAAACAATAGGTTAGCTTAACTAGTAAAGAATGTCTGCCTTGAGCATTGTGCTCTTTGAAGATCTATGTATATGGGATCAAATAGACAACAGTAACTCGAAAGATCAGATAGGAAACTTAGGTAGCAGTGAGTTTATGTTACTAGGGGAAGAACAACTCAGAAAAGGAGGGTGAGAATGGTCGCACAAGTTTAAGAATGTAATCAGTGTCAATAAATTGTACTTGCAGAAACTGTTGAATGGGTGTATGTTTTGCTGTGTATATTCTCAACAACAACAAAAAAAATGAAATTTAAAAAAATATTTTCTTTCCAAAAGAAACTTTAAAAATGAAAAGGCAAG